TTGTCATAGCAAACAATGATGGCGAGCCAACCTTTTTCATAGGAAGCCAAACATCATATATCAATATTACTTTCCATAGTGAGAACCAGATTAATAAAATCAAAAACTGGAAAATAGTCGATGACGAATACCTGAGCAACCATAAATATATTATGTTTGAAATAACAACTTTCAAACATGAAACACCACAGACATATAGTGGAAGATAAATGGGGGTAACTTAAAAGCATTCACCGGAAATCTGCACTTAGCCCTATGGAACACAAAACTGAATGATTACAAGAGCAACTGCTGGAAGATGTAGTCATAACAGCATGTAACAACACCTTCGGCGTGATCCACAAAAATGGCAAAGTGAGTGAAGCAAAGTATTGATGGAATGATGTGATAGCACAAAAAAGAAAAGAATGCCTAACTATCAGACAAGGACAAGGAATAACGTTCCGATGCTCGAGTTTAAAAGCACCATCAATTTGCTAAAAAACAACTAGAAAAGTTCATAGTGAACTCTAAACAGAGGATGTGGAAAGACTTATTAAATGACTTAGAAAACGACGTTTGTGGTCATGCATACAAGATAGCCATGAAAAAGCTCAAAATTACAGACAGACCGTACCTCGATACTGAATAGCAGACAAAAATTATCGAGGGATTGTTTCCTATCTACTGAACATAATAAAGAGCTATTTTGACGAGAGGGCACTTATGGTAGGGCAAAAGACGATGAAGGTAACCATGGAAGTACCGCAGGGCTCCGTCCTAGGGCCGTTGCGTTGGAACGTGTTCTACGATGGGGTTCTTCGCTTATAGATGCTGCGAGGAGTTCGCTTGATAGGTTATGTTAACGACCTTGATAGTGACTAGCAAGGAGAGAGATACCCTTGAAGGACTCTTAGCATACGATCTAAAAATGGTTGAACATATAAGGCGCACCACTGACAAGGTAAATCGGGTCGTTGCATCTCTGATACGGCTAATGCCATCTGACGGAGGCCCGAGTAGTGAGAGGCGCACGATTTTGGCAGGGGTAGCAAACTCGATTATGCTGTACGAAACTCCTATACATAACATGGCCTTGCGGAAAAAGAAATATAGACATCTAATATTGAGAAGCCAGCGAAAAGTAGTGCTGCGCGTGGTATGCGCTCGCAGAACGGTATCGACCGATGCACTGCTGGTGGTGGCTCATATCCCGCCAATTGATTTGCTGGTTGCGGAGATATGTCCGCTGTATGAAAAGGTCGTCGAAGCTACAAGCGGCGAAAGCGAGGCGCTTTTTGTCAAATAACAGGAGAGTAGGTATGCAACTGGCCATGGTGCATGGACCAGAAGGCTGCTCCCAGTTATTAAAACTTGGATTGACAAGGGAGCGGTGCGGATAGACTACTATACTGCCCAGTTTCTCACAGGACATGGTTGTTTTGACAGCTACCTGAAGAGGGTAGGAAAGAGTACGCGAATTGCGTATATTGCAACGAAGAGGAGGATACTCCTGATCACCTACTTCAATCTGATAGGTTGGTTGATTACCAAACACAGCTGGAACAGACGCTCGGCGAAAGGCTCACTGCTGACAACTTTACCACACATATACGCGAGGGAAAATAGGTTGATATTCAACCAATAGTGGGGCAAATGATGCTGAGGAAGGTACAGGAGAACAAAAATAGACCAGGGTACAAGTAGCAGCGTTCTATTTTGTTCGGTTTTACATGTACGTAGTTACAAAAGTATGTAGGTGTATGATAGAGATTAGATGACTGATATCTTCGGTATGAGAACCTGCAAGCATTAGTGTGGTGGGATATGCGGCAAACGCTTGAGGGGTTTTAGTGAGAATGCCATTTCTGGAGAATCTCACACTTCGGACAGGAAGGGCAGGCAGGGCAATACTGTCGAGTTGTTCTGCCTGAGAGTGGCTATAAAAGCTTTCCCCTGGCAAAAAAAGTAACAGTGATTGTGGCCATACGATCCTACAATGCCTGCTCTTCTCAGAAAGCTGACGAATTAGGTTCTCAGAAGCCTGCAATATCTTTGCACTATTGAAAGATTAATTAAGCTTTTGATGACTTTCGAAAAACCTCTCCGTTCACGTAGAAACATCATATGCAACACTTCTTGGTCTACAAAAGCTATTCACAATGACTATACCAACCAGATTACTAAACTCTTATCTCTACGGACTTTTCCAGATATCTTGAGGTCATTTCTTATTTTGAATCTTCTGACTTCAGATGGTTCCAGTCTGGCTGACGGTATACCAAGTAGGTGTCAGGAATAATGTGTTTATTTATATTTTTGTGAGGAGGTAGTAAAAATGCCATAGAACTGGGAACTGGGAATGTTGCCAAAACATGTATTTGGACTAATTCATCATTTCGTTAGTACCGCTCTTGTAAGCCGTCCCCACCTCAAAAGGTCGCATGAAGCGTATTTGGCTGAAACCAAATTATACATACTCATAAACTTTCTCATTTTATATATATATATATATAAAGCTAGTATGGTCAGTTTTGTTGAGAAAATCACCAAACGGCAGACTAGTCCAAAAAATTTTCTTTAAATGTTAACCTCATGTTTTTGAAACATCCTGCATAGTCTGAATTGGATATATTTCCTTCCGGCTCTAAGACCAACCGTATGAAGCACAGTTTCATGATTATTAGCAACGATCTGCATGGTATTAGTCTTGACTTGAAGACAGACAACGAAACGTAAAGGCAACAGATGTCAATTAGTAAGCAGCGCTAAAACATCCGACCTAACGTCAAGGATGATGAATGTCTTCTGACAAATCTTAAAACAGTCGACCGCTTGAAGAACGAGAAATATCAATCACCATAGATGACACATCAATCATAGAAGACACACAAAGAATAGTTATAACGCTTGCGAATTGTGCAGTTTTATTTCGGAAATAATGGTTCTGTACGGAATACGTATCGCGCACTACGTCCATTTTATCGTCGACAAAATCGTCCATCAGAGCAGTTAATTCGATCAACCATGGAACGTTTTCGTACCACGTTTACTCTAATTGGTAACTCGCATCCCCAGAGATGCCGTACGGTGCGTACAGAAGAAACTATTGCTACTGTAGAGCGTAGCATTGAGGAAGACCCGAATGAATCCATCCGCCATCGAGCACAGGAATTGGATCTGTGTCCATCCACTTTATGGAAGATTTTGCGGAAGGATCTTGGTTTGAGTGCTTACAAAATTCAAGTCGTGCAAGAATTGAAGCCAAACGATCATCAAGCAAGGCGTAGATTCGTTGAATGGGCCCAAAACGTAATTGCCGTTGTTCCCGATTTTTATAAGCGAATTTTGTTTAGCGGTGAAGCGCACTTCTGGTTGAATGGCTACGTCAAGAATCAAAACTGTCACACTTGGAGTGAAGCTAATCCTCAAGTCTATGTCGAAACACCGTTACATCCAGAAAAACTTACTGTTTGGTGCGCTTTATGGACTGGTGGAATCATTGGTCCGTACTTCTTCAAAAACGATGATGGCCTGAACGTTACAGAACCATGATTACTAACTTTTTCATTCCTGAATTGAACAATCATGATGTTCAGGAGCTGTGGTTCCAACAAGACGGCGCAACATGTCACACAGCTCGTGCTACAATCAATTTATTGAAAGACACGTTTGGTGACCGCCTAATTTCACGTTTTGGACCTGTGAATTGGCCTCCAAGATCTTGTGATTTAAGACCGCTAGACTATGTTCTGTGGGGCTATGTAAAGTCATTGGTCTATGCGGATAAACCACAAACGCTTAACCATTTGGAAGACAACATTCGCCATGTTATTGCCGATATACGGCCACAAATGTTGGAAGAAGTCATCGAAAATTGGACGTTCAGATTAGACTACAACCGAGCCGGCAATGGCAGTCATATGCCAGAAATCATATTTAAAATGTAATGCCATAAGATTATCTTTTGAGTAAAAAAAATGCATGTCAATCGAATAATCCATCGTTTTTTTATTGCAATTTAAAGTTCTGTACCTCTAAAGAAAACACCCTTTATGAAGAGAACAAACACACTTCGTGGAATACCTTTATAATCCGTCGGTCGGTCCCATTGACCTTGAGAGTCATCTGCACTACGGAAAGCCGATTGTAGATGCTTATACTACATCATCGTGTACTGATATGATTGGATAAAAACTATTCAAATCCTGCGAATTTTGATACTAAACAGCAAGCTTGCCGAGTTACGGCTAGTACAATACGTCAAATTTTACTAATTTCTAATATTGCATATCAGAGCGCGATGTAACCAAAACTTTGCGGTCGACTCTTGGGATATTCTTGTTTTACAAATAAAAAACAGAATGGAGTTCAGCTCTGACGACGGTTTTTGGTGGTTACGTCAAAAGGTCATATGCAATACATAAACATATCATCTTATGGCCAGCGGCCAGACTATCTAGATAACCCGCGACTATGTCAAATAGACCGAGGATTGGTCAAATAAGCAATTTGAGGTTATAAAAGTCGTGTATTATTCCGTGCAAGGCCTCATAAGTTAAATAGCTATGTGACAGCTTACAGTTTTGAGAATAGCTTCTCTTGCGAATAGTGTGATTGCTAACTTTATTGAATAAAAAATATATTTCATAGTTTATAAATCTGTGATAAATATCCCCACCACGATTATACAAAAAACAAAAGTAAATTTGAACAAAAATGCGTTCACTACAAGTGATGGTCAATGAATTCATCCAAAACGAATTATCTATCCGGCAACACCACATTTATTTCCAACTGGATGTGGACGCCATGTTTTTCGAGTAATTTCTTATCCCTGTCTGTTTTTATTCACATTGTCTGTCTTCTCTTTAAATCACTACTCCTTGTCTTCGTCTTTAGATCAGATACACCACATTTGGCGCACTAAAAGGGGGTTTGCTGGCATGTACTAGCGCTTGCGTAAGTTTTATTTGCATCCAACTTGCAGAAAAACTTGCAAATATAAACACTAAATTCACGAAAGTTTAACGCGGGCTTGCATGCATTTGTTGCTTTTGCAAATTAATTCTGTTTTGATAGAAATTACTTACGCGCTAGCTGTACTTTCCTGTGTAAAGCTGTTGTTTGCAGACTACCACTACTTGGAAGCAAGTGACGAGAGTGTTTGGTCGTGATGAAGAATTGCACGGACTGGACTTTAACCAAGTTTCCTTTGCAAAGGTAGGTGTGTAGTGTGAACCTCAACTTGAATGCAAGTACAGTTTGCATCAACTTGCATGTCCTACTCACGCAAGCGCTACATGGTAGTGTGAACTCTCCTTAAGTAGGAGCAGTCTGTTGGTAGTTCGTTCCTCTTTTCTGTATTTCAGATTTATGAGGCGTAGATGCCTTTCTGCATCATCGAGATTAGGTCATATCAGCTGTGCCAAACAACAGTCACCTCCGGACGCTCTCCGGGGCCACTTATTAGCTTGGGTAAGTCGTTTACAGATTAAGCGGGGAATATTTATACTCATTCAGAGTTATTTTTTCAGACGCAACAGCTTTCTAACCCGTTTTCTCACATACTTAAAAGTTGCCAACTAGCCAGCGCATGCGCAGATACATTGTTACCTGAAAATGTTGTTTTCTAATTGTATGTCCACAATCGTCCAGTATACAAGACACTTCAGAAAAACAATTCAAATTCACCAACAATGGCTTATTGTTAATGATTAAGAATACAAACAACTATTATTTTTGCGCATGTCCACGCCGTTCACAGAGATTGGAGAAAGATTATTGAGCAACACTTATTTTGGTCTGACAAGTTGAAATTCAACCTGGTTAACTTTCAGCCTGCCGGTAGCAACTGTGGATGCGCCCCTGGATACCTGCATGATACGTAGATATTTGTACGCTCATCCTAAGGCAACTCAAATGTGCCACTGCACTGTATTTCAAGTATGAGTATGTTGACGGTTTATGCCTTATGTGTATTATATATATATATATATATATATATAGTTTCCAACCCGTCCACATCCTCTTGAAATCTCAAAATCCAAAAACGCCAAAGGGAGAGGAGTTGAATACGCCTCCATCCTACAGTTTATCAGCATATCCTATAAAGGCAATTTCTGACAGCATTTTCAGTTTTAAAGCCCCATCATAAAACGCGACCCACAATAATAGCCCTATGTAGAAAAATTCTGAGCTCATAGCCGTAAAAACTTTTATCACTTTTGTTCTTCCTTATAAAACGTCTAAATTGAAGTTTAACTGATAGAAAGAATTACCAAGTTACTAGCACCATGGGAGATCCGGAACACGCATTCTTTGTAGTCTTGATAAATCTGGATTATTGAAAATCACTCGAGTTGAATGACGGTGCCATCTATACGTATACATACCAGAATCGACAACTGCAAAGTGAATGGTAATTGTTGATTGGAAATGTGGAGGTATCTCAGTTTGCTTTAATAGCCGCGTAATCACTATGACCGCTAAATAGTATCAACGTTGGTGATATACCTAGTATTTACATGTGGTGTACTTCCCATTGAAAATTAATGTTACTGCTTATCTTCACGCAACCGAGCGTGTACTTATTGCGAATCATCAACATGGTCTGCGTAAGACATGAATAGCAACTGTTGGTTGGACTTCGCACTTGGTCGAATCTGGTAAATAGATGATACTGCTGCTGTCATACCCCTTTTGACTTCATACCCTGTTCCGGGTGACTTTTGCTCTGCTTCCGTTTGTAGTGCCACCTAGACCGTGTAGATAATTGGCATGAAACTGCTGTACACGAGCATTCGTATGGAGAGAAGTGTGGACTGTTAGTTTTGTTTTCATTTTTATTCATTAAAAAATATATCAAACATTTTATATATTAGCTTCGTCAAAACCACACTGAAATTTTCTCAGTCTAACCTGACTTAAATCTGTTCGATCTAGAGGGTTAGTTAATTTACACGAGTCATAGAAAATCTTGCCCAACTAACATATGTTACAAGTGAAAGTAAATATAAACAATTGCATCAAGTATGTAACCGCAATTGTGACGTGGTATGCTCAACCAAATCCAAGAAATGCACAAAAAAAAACCGGGTTCACAGAAACACTAGCTCACTCATCACATATTGGTGAACCGTTTGATATAAGATAATGTTACTAGCCCTATGCGAACAGCTAGTGTTACCACAGTGAAATACTAAAATCTATTATAGCTCTTCAACAACCACAGTCGCAGCACCGTATACAGCCCTGAACTTGTCAATTATTTCGAACGCAAGGTCTTTATAATGAGCGAAACGATAAGATACATCAGACACACCATTGCGCTTATGATTGCCCTTGACGCACATTACGAGTATTAGATACACACTAACATAATGTTCAGTTGCCGTAATACGTAATATTTCCGGCAAAATTTCCTTTTTCCAACACATTGTTATACATGTTGTTGCGCCATGTATGAGAGGAGACTTGTGGAGAAGCCGTTAGATCGACAACCAGCAAATACACCATTACGATCTCGGAAATCGTAAGAGATACAAAGTCGCTTACATGGGACAAAAGTTGTGCATTCAGGTAATTAACAAAATGCCGCTTAGAAAGTTTCGATATTCAAAGTACTTCCAGAGAAAGATGGAAAAGTTTTCTAAAATTAATTTTATTTTTTTCCTGACTTTATTGCTAGTTGGATTTTTAAAATAAATTGTACATTAACTTTGCCACTTCTTCTCCTCGACATGATGGATAATTTGAATTTCAATATGATGTTTCGTCTCTTGTCCTCCAGCATCATAGCTATTTAACTTTTGAGGCCTTGCACGGACTAATACAAGACTTAGGTTAGTAATAAAAGTTTTATAACCTCAAATTGCTTATTTGACCAATCCTCGGTCCATTTGACATAGTCGCGGGTTTTCTAGATAGTCTGGCCGCTGGCATTAAGATGATATGTTTTTGTATTGCATAAATATGACCTTTTGACGTAACCACCAAAAACCGTCGTCAGAGCTGAATTCCATTCTGTTTTTTATTTGTAAAACAAGAATATTCCAAAAGTCGACCGCAAAGTTTTGGTTACATCGCGCTCTGATATGCAATATTAGGAATTATTAAAATTTGACCTATTGTACTAGCCGTAACTCGGCAAGCTTGCTGTTTAGCATCAAAAATTCCCAGGATTTGAATAGTTTTTATCCAATCATATCAGTAGACGATGATGTAATATAATCATCTACAATCGGCTTCCCGTAGTGCAGATGACTCCCAAGGTCAATGGGACCGACCGACGGATTATAAAGGCATTCCACGAAGTGTGTTTGTTCTCCTGATAAAGGGTGTTTTCTTTAGAGGTATAGAACCTTAAATTGCAATAAAAAAACAATGGATTATTCGATTGACATGAATTTTTTTTTATTCGAAAGATAATCTTGTGGCATTACATTTTAAATATGATTTCTGGCATATGACTGCCACGGCGGGCTCGGATGTAGTCCAATCTTGACGTCCAATTTTCGATGACTTCTTCCAACATTTGTGGCCGTATATCGGCAATAACATGGCGAATGTTGTCTTCCAAATGGTCAAGCGTTTGTGGTTTATCCGCATAGACCAATGACTTTACATAGCCCCACAGAACACAGTCTAGCGGTGTTAAATCACAAGATCTTGGAGGCCAATTCACAGGACCAGAACGTGAAATTAGGCGGTCAACAAACATGTCTTTCAATAAATCGATTGTAGCACGAGCTGTGTGACATGTTGCGCCGTCTTGTTGGAACCACAGCTCTTGAACATCATGATTGTTCAATTCAGGAATGAAAAAGTTAGTAATCATGGCTCTGTAACGTTCTGGCCATCATCGTTTTTGAAGAAGTACGGACCAATGATTCCACCAGTCCATAAAGCGCACCAAACAGTAAGTTTTTCTGGATGTAAGGGTGTTTCGATATATAGTAGACTTGAGGATTAGCTTCAAGAGACAGAACGTATTATTGAAATTCTATTTAAGCCATCTTGTAGAGGAGGCAAAGTGGCAATGTTAATGTGCAGTTTATTTGAGATCCCACTACAAATAAAGTCGAGAAAAAGTTGGAACTATTTTGTGAAAATTCGTTTTTTCCATCTCTCTCCGGAATTACTTTGAATTTCGAAACTGTCTAAGTAGCATTTTGTTGAATACCTAAATGCTCAGCTTTGCCCTCATTTAAGCAACTTCGTATCTCTTACAGTTTCCGAGATCCCAGTGGTGACGATCGAATTTGAAATACCCTGTAGAGTCGACGCGTTCATTATCATTCTCTCAATTTTGCAATACAATGAAATACTATATCGTTACAGGATAGATCCTATTTTCGAGAACTGTTTTCTCTACAAGAGGACTACCGCAACACTGAATTAACCTCAACACATATTACAGAAGTATGTTCAACAAAATTAGGCAGTAAAAAAGATGTGCTACTTGAACAACGGCAAATAGTCAGTCTGTACAAATATTGCATCATTGTTTCATCAGTACCTACTGAAAAAATGTTTAAATCATAATATATATCTAAAAGTGCTTATGATCATGTTTAGAAAAATTTTACCGGCTTTTTGACAAAGTAAATATTTGTACTAGTTATATACATAATGACTGTTTGGACAGACTATATAATTTCCGATTATGCTTGTTATTCACAAACATTTTGGTCACAATTCAGTAATTCAGATCATATTAAACTGGAAAAGCTGTGAGATCTGTCATACTGGTGTTGTCCCATATTACTCCATTTTATAAAAGAACTGTGAAAAGTGAGTGTCTGGAAGCTAAACAACATTGAAATTTTATCGCAAAATGGAAAGGGAGGTGATAATATATCATTCCTGTCATAGTCAACCGCTCGATATGGGAGCTAAGTAAAACACAAATGCATATTTCAGATATGTTTATCCTAGGATAGAATACTGACCGATGTAGATGCATACAAATAAATCACAGCTACCATACTCCGTTTTGTGCTTTCTAGCTATAAATCTTCTGGCGCGGCATCTCCATTAATATTCTCGGGGTTACCGAACTGCAGAGCAAAAAGGGGAATTGTTAGCATTGTTCTGCTGTCTGTCCTTATGATCCCTTCTTATCCTTACTAATGTCTTTTTTCAACAGATGTATTTCTTCGCCTATCCGTCATTAGGCCTAGGTCCTCTTAGATGTAGGGCATCCACAATAATCATTTTATTTTATTTTATCGTTAATCGTTAATCATTTTATCGTTTATCGTTAATCATTTTATCGTTTATCGTTTTTATCGTTAATCGTTTATCGTTTATCGTTTATCGTTTATCGTTTACCGTTTATCGTTTATCGTTTATCGTTTATCGTTTATCGTTTATCGTTTATCGTTTATCGTTTATCGTTTATCGTTTATCGTTTATCGTTTATCGTTTATCGTTTATCGTTTATCGTTTATCGTTTATCGTTTATCGTTTATCGTTTATCGTTTATCGTTTATCGTTTATCGTTTATCGTTTATCGTTTATCGTTTATCGTTTATCGTTTATCGTTTATCTTTTATCGTTTCTCGTTTATCGTTTACCGTTCGTCGTTCGTCCTTGGTGGTCGGTTGTGGGTTGTCGGTTGTCGGTTGTCGGTTCTCGGTTGTCGGTTCTCGGTTGTCGGGTGTCTGTTATCGGTTATCGGTTATCGGTTATCGGTTATCGGTCATCGGTCATCGGTTATCGGTTAATCAGTTATCAGTTGTTATTATTATCATTATTATTATTAGTATATTTTATGGCTGTCAGTTTCTATAACTGGAATCGGCTGGTACTTGTAATATGGGGTGCGGTCAGTTAGTATGTTCGCAGCATAACAAATTTCTTGGTGAACTATTTTAGCCACGTTGTCGTGGCGCTTCAGATACTCAGTGGAAGCAAGGAGAGTGCAGCTGGTCAGGATGTGCTCTATTGTTTCCGACTTGTTATGACATATACGACATCTATCTTCAATGCCTTCTTCTTTCATGATGTATTTTCTATAGTTTAAGGTTGGTATCACCTGATCTTGAATGCCAATCATGAAACCTTCAGTTTCCGAAAATAGCTCCCCACTCTTCAGCCATCCATGTGACGCTTCTGCATCAAAGTGATCTGAGCTGAGCATGGCTGGATATCTTCCATGAAGCTGTTTGGACTTCCATTGATGATTGTTCGTCGGTGGTCACATGGGTGAGAGGTTTATACTGTTCATCCGACAGGTTCAGTGGTGTGAACTTGTAGTCAGCTGAAGCTATATTTCTGTGATATGCGGATGTTTCGCCTTTTCTATAAAAGAATCTCCTGAGGTTTTCTATATTCCGCAGGTTAGCTGCTTTAAGGTCAATCACTCCTCGTCCTCCTTTGGATCTTGGCAAGTAGAATCTTTCGATCGAACTCTTGGGATGTCTTGCTCTATGATTTGTAAATAAGACTCTTATGTTTCTGTTTAGCTGCTCTAAGTCAGAGTCAGTCCACTTGATTATTCCGAAGCTATATGTTATTGTCGGAATAGCGTATGTGTTAATGGCCCTTACTTTGTGTATTGCGGACAGTTGAGTCTTAAGTATTGATTTGACCCTACTCGTTAATCTTTGCTTTAGAGCTTAATTATTGTTATTATTATTATTATTATTATTATTATTATGATTATTATTATTACTACTATTATTATTATTATTCATTAATCATCTAACTGATTCACAGGCTTCCCTGGGTTAAGAACGCTGGCACATCGGTTTTGAAACAAGATGGCCCGTTCGATGCTGATGTAAAAAACATCTTGTTCTAGTTGCCACCTAAAACTCTACGGACTGCACTGCATGTGTCCAATACGACCGACTTTTGCATAGGTAAGTATAATTCGAACGGTAATCCTAGTTGTTGCAGTGATGTTTTTAATTTTTTAGGTATTTCTCCAGTTGCTCCGATCACAATGGGGATGATGACTACTGTTTCCATGTCCCACATTTGGTGGATTTCATCGCTCAGGGGTAGGTATTTATTTATTTTTTCTCCATGTGTCTTTTCTAGGTTGGCTCCCAATGGCACAGCGAAATCTACTAGGTATGTTTTGTTTTCATTTTTTAGAGTGAGCACGATATCCGGTATATTATTACTTATCGGTCTATCAGTTATAATTTTTCGATTCCAGTAGAGCCGGGTTTGTTCATCTTCGCACACAGCAGGCGGCTCGTATAAATAGTACGGTACTATTTCTGTCAATCCCATGTACTTTTCACGAAGGCTTTGGTGGATTATCTTCCCGACTCTGTTGTGCCTGTCTAGGTAGGATTTCGGTGCCCACATTGAGCAGCCAGCGATGATGTGGTCCAGGTATTCATCCTTTTCACCGCACACACGACATCTGATATTGTCTTGTCGTTCCCGCATTATGTTTCTTTTATATACTTTAGTTGCGATGACCTGATCTTGGATAGCAGATATGAACCCTTCTGTCTCAGCAAACAGGTTTCCATAGCGGAGGTAGGCCGTGGATGCGAAGGTATCGATCTTATCGCTCTCGAGTAGGGTGCGGTATTTACCATGAAGTGCCTTACTCTTCCATTGTTGCAGTTGTTGCTCGTGTATGAGCTGGTCCACGCTAAGGCTGAAGTTTTGGTCTGCCAGTCTTAAAGGAGTAGCCTTATTGTCCGCCCTTATGATAGCGTGGTAAATCTCACTGGACGCAGCCCTGGCGAGGAAGTAGTTCCTAAGGTTTGTTACTTGCCTGTTGTGGTTAATAACTAGATCAGGTATACCTCTTCCACCCAACTTTCTAGGCAAGTGGAACCTTTCCAATGATGAACGTGGATGATGTGCTCGAAATTTGCTGAACTCTTTTCTGGTTTTGATATTGAGGTTTTTGAGTTCTGTTGCTGTCCAGTGAATCACTCCAAAGCTATAAGAAACTGCAGATGTGTGCATAGGTGTTAACTGCTTTTGCCATGTTCCTGGCAGACAGCTTAGTCTTCAGTATCGACCGGATTCTTTTAATGTAGGTGTCACTTACTGTTTGCTTTGCTGCTGTATGATCTAGACCTCTTGCTTGCAGATATCCAAGATATTTGTACCTTTCTCCCTCTTCCATTCCGGCGATGGTTTGCCGCTCAGCAACTTCATATCCCGCGTGATGTACCCACTGGCCCTTCTCCATCCCACTGGTCCTACATTTGTCCAGCCCAAATGTCATTTTTATGTCGCGACTGAATCGGGTGACGCAAGTCAGACGGTCATCAAGGTGTTTTTTAGACTTTGCATACAGCTTTAAATCATCCATGTACCAAAGGTGGCTAATATTCTTGTCTGAGTGTGGCAGTATATAACCTTTGCGCTGCCTATTCAACATAGTTGTCAGGGGTCGCAGCGACAGACAGAACCATAGCGGACTTAATGCGTCCCCTTGGAATATTCCATTTTCTATTTTAATGGTACCTGCATCTACACTTTTTTGGTTGGTGTTTAAGACAATTCTGGTTTTCCACTGAGACATGGCGTAGTTCAGTAAATTCAGTACATGGGCCTCGACTTTATAAAGCTGGATAGCCAGGAGTGAGGAACACTGTCAAACGCTTTTTGATAGTCTATATACGCTGTGTGCAAAGAGCCTTTTGAGCGTTTCGCGTGAGACGTGATGACCGTATCTATTATTAATTGTTCTTTACACCCTCTGGATCCTTTTCGACAACCCTTCTGCTCTTCGTCCAACAGGTTATTTCTTTCCAGGTGACTGTATATCTTTTCCGATAGGATGGACGTGAATATTTTATATATTGTAGGAAGGCAGGTGATCGGCCTATATTTGGATGGATTTTCTGAGGACACCTTCGTTTTTGGGTACAAATAAGTGATACCACTGGTCATGAATGGTGGTAGTTCTTCAGGGTTGGACAGCAGGTGAGTATACCATTTGGCTAGATGTTGATGAATGACCTTGAATTGTTTATACCAGAAATTTTTGATTTGCCAGGTGCCTTCCAATTCAAGGTCTTGTTTATAGCCTTGGTTACTTGGTCGGTTGTTACTTCCCATTCCAACATTGTCTATAGGTTAGATGTAGACCTCTTCTCGTCAGACAGCCATCTGGTATTGTTGTGAATCACACGGTTTCCCCAGGTTGATTCCCAAAACGTTTTCATGGCCTCTGGTGTGGGGACCTTATTTTCTTGCAGGGTTTCAATCTCGTGATCTTCACACTCTAAATTTTTATAAAAGCTCCTTTCACTCCTGCTAAACTGACTATTGTGTTGACGTCTTGTGTTGCTTTCCTTATACCGTCGGAGTTTTTTAGCCATAGCCGTGAGTTTTTGTTTAAGGTGATCCAGTATTTCTGTTGCTGTTGGATTTTCGAGGCTTTGTTCCCTTTCAAGAATGGCTTTGGCTTTCTTAGTGACTGAGCTGCTGGCGTTCAAGCTTTGATTTTGTGTCAGAATTCCTATGTCCCGCCTGATACTATCGATTTTATTAGTAATTCGGCGCTGCCATGCTGGCGTGACTGGGACATTTTTAACTTGAGTGTCCGTGGAGATATTCTGCTTGTTTAGTGTTAGCACCGCTGCTGCTCCACTATAAATAAGGCTGTGCAGATTTTCAATGGGTATATCAGTTATTATTTTGGAATCCAGAATTTTGTTGATTTCACCCAATATAGATTTTGTCATCTTATTATAAATTATTTTGGGAAGTCTAGGTTTCATCATAGGGTCCATTCCATCATAAAGCAAATGAACCCTTTCGAATTCCAGCTCAGCAGCTAATGGTGGTCTGTTGGCTTCCGGTACTGGGGCCGCTGGTTCATCGTCAGCATTGGGGAGATCAGCAGGTAAATTTATAGATAGTTCTATCGCAACTTCGCGCTTTATTTGTGTAATAATACCTGGTGATAGGCGTCTATTTATAAATATAGATCTTCGCTGGTCTATGATATTTTGTATAGTCTTATGACGAAGCATTGGGAATTTTTCAGTTACCAGTCTATGTAGTTCTCGGCTGTATGGAGCTTTGGCGTTTTCTAGTTGGGTTAATCTGTAATAGCAGCGAAACATGAATGCATTGATTTCTTCTGTCCACATGGTTCTTTGCCTAACTGTGCCTTGTGACGTGGTGGGCATGGGCTCTGATGGTCCAGCAACACCGACATCTTGGCTTGGTACGTTTGGTGGTGGTGTACTCGACTGGGTTGGTAATCTGGTTGGTCCTTGTTCATTGCCGCGGTAGGTTGCAGGCAAATCTTCAAGACGGTTCCAACCCGGCTCCTGCTGCGCCGGCCCGCCTGAGTATCTCTTATTTCTCGTTTTAAGAGCATTTAAATATACAAGTTCTAGGGGGTGCTAACCCATAGAGCGGTGGTGCTAGTTTTTGTCCACCCCAGGTATTTTACTTCCCCGGTACCCTCCATATCTGGAGAGCGTGTCCTAATTCGCACAGGGAGGCGCCCGATGGGAGACTAACAACTCCACACGGGTTATTATTATTATTATTATCGTTATCGTTATCGTTATCGTTATCGTTATCGTTATCGTTATCGTTATCGTTATCGTTATCGTTATCGTTATTGTTATCGTTATCGTTATCGTGATCGTTATCGTTATCGTTATCGTTATCGTTATCGTTATCGTTATCGTTATCGTTATCGTTATCGTTATCGTTATCATTATTATTATCATTATTATTATTATTATTATTATCATCATTATTATTATTATTATTATTATTATATATATTATATAGATAGCTGAAGTGACGTCATCAAAATTGCAGGTCTGTTTTTGCGAGGAAGTTTAAGCCCTAAGCTTCTAACACCGACATCTCATCAAAATTGTTTTTGAATTCTTTCATATTCCAAGGAATCCTTCAATAAACAAAACCATCGCATCTAGCCTATTCTTAATAGACATCTTCTTCCGAGCAACGGCTGCAATTGAAATGTGTTGGTTCCAATAATTTCATCAGTAATCTGAAGCCGCGTACTTTTCAGGCAAATCTTGGCCACTGTTTAAAACAGGATATGCAGTTAACTGCCGCTTTTAAGTTGAGGTATTCAGGCAGCTATAGCTGATAGACTCCAGAAGGGTTATAACGTAAAAAATCTATATGTCAAAAAAAAAACGAGAAAATGTCAACTTGTTGACTAAGTCGGCTAGTCTGCACAGTGCTTGCTATGAACAAGAAGTAGTCAAGCCGAGAAGTAGAATTACAAGGTGCAAGTTAGGTGATTATTAGTAGGGATGTTTCACCAACGTTGCAAACTGTGCCTGGCACGACGTTTTCAATATAATTCTGGCACTCTTGCTTGGAATAGAAACCTGGACCTGGCTTAGGATAATCAGTTCCACATCAAGGACGAACGAAGACGTTTGGGATAACGTAGAAGCATTGTACTCGGTTGCTTGGAATAGCAACGTGGACCTGACTTGGGCTAGCCAGCTCCACATCAAAGACGAACGAGGATGTTTGGGATAACGTTGTAACATTGGACTCGGTTGCTTGGGATAGCAACATGGACCTAGCTTGTTATAGTCAGCTTCACCCCAAGGACGAATGAAGTTGTTTGGGATAATTACACAATACTGAACTCCGTTGCACAAATAACAACACTGAAAGCATTTGGGACAACGTAGTAACAAGGTATGGTCCACAATCTCTTCTCATTTAAAGAACAGAATAATGTCACCACATTACTGACTAGAAATTCACTCCCGATATTACACTTATTATCCAAGGAATTTCCCACCTAACTTGACCAGAAGACACCACAAGTAAATTCCTAATGCAGTGAATACCTACACAATTATTAGTAGATCTGCGGAAGAAGAACTCACCGTTTTCGAACATAATTGAAATCCCAAAAATCGTGTGACAAAAGTCATTGATCCTGTCAATACATTATATTACGTCATAGTCACTTCATAATAATATACTGAGTGCTTCATCAAGATGAGCAAAAAGAAAAAAAGTAAAGATGAAGAAGATAGCCAAATTAAGAAACACGACATTGATGAGAAGGACTGTTTAAAAGAAGAAAATGATATAAAGGTACTCAAGCAAAAAATATACTACTTGAATGAAATGCTAGAAACAAAAAACTCTATCATATTAGACAAAGAAAGGTACATTAACCAGCTCGTAAATGAAAATAGACATCTGCAAGAGCATTATGGATTAATTATTAGTAGTATCGTCGACAAAGATACTATTATCACCTAACTGAGAAGATAAACCAAAGAATCAAAATTATAGAAAAATTTACTAAAGAAAAGTTCAGTAAACAAATAGATGGACCAGAACTAGGAACAACAACCTCACAAAATGCATCATACAGCAGTACTCTTAGAAAACCAAATATGAGTCATAAATCAGCTGTTCTTTTAATTAAACCTCACAAGATCTCAGAAAATCAAGATGTACTAAGAAATTTAAAACAAAGCATAAATCCTGCTGATTTGGGTATACGGATAGATGGAGCAAAAAAACCAAAAACGGAGCAGTAATTTACTGTAAAGATTCAACAGATTTAACCAAATTGAAGAGTACCCTAGATTCTAAACTTGGAAAAGAATCTGAAGTCAAGAAGTCTTAAAAATACAATCCAAGAATTTTAATCAAAAACGTGCATTCAGAAGGATTCTCAGATGATTCACAATTGATACAGAATATAATATCCCTTAACAACCTGGATGACGAAGACCCGAGTTCTCTGAAACTGGTTATGAAGCTAAAAATGCAAAACGCTAAACATATCGTCATAGAAACCACTCCTCGCGTAAGATCACACTTGATGGATAGAGGCTTAATATACTTAGGATGGAAAAAATATAGCATAGCAGATCACATAAATGTTATCCCGTGCCGTAAATGCTGTGGATTTGGGCATTATGCAAAAAATTGTAAATCTGATAACAACTTATGTCAGAAATGTGCAGGTCATCATTTTATCAATGATTGTAAAAGTGACCTAGTCAATTGTATAAATTGTATAAAATCAAATGAAAGTCGTTCTACCACGATGTTCATCACAATGCTAACGACAAATCCTGTCCTATTCGTGAAAAATATTTTAACTACATTAAAAGTAAAACAAATTATATAGACAAGAAACTTATTAAGAGAATTATGGATACATACGTGAAAGATTTCAATCCAGAAGTAATTAAAACAAATATTTTAAACGACTTACCTACAAAAAAATTATATTTCTCTAATGATACCACATCAGAGCTAAAAATATGCCATTCAAACATAAGGAGTGTTCATAAACATTTAGGTGAACTTCAGACGCTGTTGGAAACACTAAATTATTGTTTTGATGTACTGGTACTAACAGAAACATTTAGAATATATGACACAAATTTAATCCAAATTCCAAATTATTATCTATATTACAATGAAGGGGATTTCAATAAAAATGATGGGGTTTTGATATATGTAAGACAGAACTTAATTAGTAATTCTGAAGTTGTATATCTAAATGATACAAAATTATTGAAGGTCATCGTACACAAACACAACCATAAAATACAAATCATTGGAGTATACAAGTTACCATCCATACTCACCACATCATTTAATGAAGAACTTCATAATTATCTTGAAAACAATGAGGAGCTGTATATTAATTTAATAGTAGGAGATCTAAATATCAATATTCTAGACCAAAACGATCAAAATTCCCTCGAGTACCTTAACATGATGGCAGGACAGGGATACCAATCCGCCATTAATGAAGTAACAAGAATTGGCGAGTTGTATAGACCATATGTTCATAAATACCTCCATAAATAGTGAGAACTTCTTCTCGGCGGTTTTGAGATATACAATTTTGGATCGCTTCCCCACCATGCTAAGGATTCAATATGAAGACACAGTTCCTAAATTAAAAAGAACGCAGTCTAGCATAAAAACATACAGTACATAGATTATAATAAGTTGAACTGGTCAGAGATATATGATCAAGATGATCCTGAAAAGCCATTTGACCTTTTTACCTTTCAACTTCAACAACATATAAATTCATGTACAAATCGGATAAAGGTTCCATGAAAAAATATTAAAGGGCAGCTATGGATATCGAATGGAATTATAACATCCGTTAACAGAAAAATTGAGCTGTATAGAAAAACAAAAAAATTTCCACACGATTTAGAACTTCTAAATGAATTTAAATTATACAGAAATAAATTAACCACAATTATAAAAGAGGCTAAATTAAAATTTTTAAAAAATTAAGTTGATAAACTTCAAAATTCTTCTGCCAAAATGTGGCATTTCATAGAAAAAATACAACATTCTCAGAAATGCCAAAAAATTCCTGCCGTACAAAAAGAAAATGAGGGACTTACAAAAAGCGATATTGAAGCAGGCAATGAATTTTGTAAATATTTTTCTGAAATTGGTGAGAATCTGGCAAAAGACATTTCAAATGAACCACAACCTATATATATACGAAAACCATTTTGCAAAATTCCCTGTATCTGACACAGGCCGATCAATACGAAATTGAACATATTATAAAGCGACTGAAAGTTAAAAAATCACCGGGATTTGATAATATAACCGCATACACTCTGAAACAAATAAATTATAAAATTTCTAAAATATTAGGATATCTTATAAGCACCTGCATGGAAAGAGGAATATTCCCGACCCAATTAAAAAAGGCAATAATAAAACCTGTACTTAAATCTGGAGATAAACAGAAACCTTGTAATTATCGCCCAATTTCAGTATTGACAAACTTTTCAAAAATTTTCTAAAAAATTCTTAAAAAATGCTTTTCAGATTTTATTGCAAAATACAACCTCATGTCAAATATGCAATATGGATTCCAGGAAGCAAAATCAAGTCAAGATGCACTTATTCAACCAAAATTTACAAGTACGTTGATAATAATAAGTTAACAGGATGCCTTTTTGTAGACCTAACCAAAGCATAGTATTACACATCAAAAATTATTAAGAACCTTGCAAAATTAAGGATTTCGTGGAGTCACTTATCAACTCATGAAGTGTTATTTAGAAAACAGGACACAATGTGTGAACATCAACAGTACACTGAGTGAAAATATGATTGTTAGATGCGGAGTTCCACGAGGAACCGTATTAGGACCAATGCTGTTTAATTTATATATTAGTGACCTTTTTAAGTTAAAAAACGATGGAGAAATTATTGGTTTCGCAGACCATATGGCAATTATTTACTCAGACAAAGATTGGACTTCTTTAAAAAAAGTTTTTTCTCGGAAAGAATTTTAACAGTCAATTTCAACAAAACATACTTTATTACATTTTCTTGCGACAACAGATCATCCCCAAATTTTAATCAACTGCAAATTAAAACGTTGAGCAGCTGTAGAAACATGCAATCGGTTGATAATTTCAAATACCTAGGGGTATTCATAGATAACCATCTAAGATGGAATAAACATATTGAAAATTTAGTAAAAAAGTTAAGATACCTTATTCCGAAAGTGAAATATTTCAGCAGTTTTTTAAGAGAAAAAAAGATCTACACATGATATATCATGCCCTTGTTCAATCATTACTATCTTACGGAATCTTAGCATGCGGGGAGTCATGAATAATTATTATAAAAAGATTGAAATTACGCAGAAGTGGTTTTTGAAATTTATGTTGAACAAAAAGAAATGTTATCCCTCAGAAAATCTTTACAATGAATCTCAGCTTTTCGACTGCCGACATATTTATTTTTATCATAGAATAATATATTTAACAAAAAATCCAAAATTGTTACTTTCTATCAGCCACAACCATCATACACGATTCAAAGAAACCTCTGTACTAATTCCCAGACTTAATAAAACTATCAGCCAAAGATCATTCTATTTTCTATGCTCAACATTTTATAACGTTATTCCTGCAAACCTTAAACATATAAAATGTATAAAACGTTTAAAAATTGAATTAAAATCATGGATCCTAAATCAACCAAGGCTACAAATCAATCATAAAATGATGCAAATTTATACATTTGACTATTATACTTAAAGAAAATTTGTTGTATTAATATAACTCAACTTCGGTTAAAACCCAAGCACAAGTGACCACTTTTTTGGGTATCTTATGTTTTTATTGGACATTGCCATTATTATTTGTACGAAAACTTTGTAATTGGACCAATAAACATTATTATTATTATTATTATTATTATTATTATTATTATTATTATTATTACTATTATTACTATTATTATCATTATTATTATTATTATTATTTGCTTGTGATAACAAATTTTACCTGGTTTGTGATAACAATGGAACAAGACTTTAAGTTTGAACATGGCAGGTTAGAAAATTGTTAGTGTATATTTTTTCCCTATTACCAGATAAAGATTAAATTCCATCTGATTGGTTATAACCTTGGAACAGCATTCTAGTGATTCACATGACAGCTTAGGAAACCGCTGAAGTACCATTATTCATTAATAACAGATAGATATTAGGTTTCATCTATGCGACTAGCGATACATTTTGTTTGCGATACCATATTCCATCTAATTCGTGATAGCAATGTAGCAATATAGCATTTTTCATTTATAACAGATAAAAATTGGGGACATATATGTCAGACTAGCGTTACATTTTGCTTGTGATAGCAAATTCCACATGGTTTGTGATAACCATGGAACAGGTCTGTAACTATGAACATGTCAGGCTAGGAAACCGCTAATGTATATCTTTTTCTTATTACCAGATAGAGAATAGGCACCTTATGCAACATTAGCATAACATTTTGCCTGTGATATCAAATTCCATCTGGTTTGTGATAACCTTGGGGCATGATTGTCGGAATGCACATGACAGTTTAGGAAACCGCCAAAGCACCATTTTTCGTTAATAGCAGATATACACTAAGTGACATATAAATCCGAACACCCAGTTTGAATGGTTTTATTTTAATAAAATTTTGTATAAGTACTTAATGAAGCATAATAAGTAAATGATAAAAATTTCAAAATGATTGCACTGCTTTAAAGCCCTTTGACCTTTAATAATGTGTGGATGCACCCTGATGTGCTACGCATTCTCCAATACGCCTAGGCATGCTTCGGATCAGGTGGTCAATGTCCTCCTGTGGTATCTCATTCCAGGCAACCACCAACAACTCTCGAAGTGCTTCTAGAGTCTGAGGAGGACGTTGCAAATTGAGCAATCTCCTACCCATCATATCCCACACGTGCTCAATTGGGGA